GATCCCTGTTAAATTTGCCATGATTTCTGTGAAACCCTGACAAAGTTAAAGCCTTGAGAGAAATGATAGTGAGACTGTAAACAATGGAGCCATGGATGATGGCAGATTCAGGTCCTAGATGCTCACATACCTCCCAGCCTCTTTTTTAAAACTGCAAATCTGAAGAGAAAATGAGGGAAGTGATGCAAAAACAGTAAAGTTCTCAGTGTGCAAAAAATAGACGTTTGCATCAATACAACCCAAGCCTTCCCAAATATTAAAAGGTGTACACCTGCAAATGCTTCTGTTCATCTGGTCTGCCAAGAACTAACAATCTCCAGTCATGTTCTGAATGTCCAACCTTTCTTTTCTGCTTGAAACAGATGCTATTTCCATGCCAGTCACAACCACCTGTGTCGCCATGTGTCATGTTGAATCGTGTATATGTAATGCCGTTCCGCCATCTTTTCTCCACTCCTCATTTTATCCAAGCATGTAGTGTGCTATTACTCTGCTACTGTATACACTCTTGTATACATTTCTGTTCTTCCTTGCAAGATTGTGAATGCTTCGGCCACTCCAATCGATGCAGTTATATCGATCTGCTAAATACAGTCATTTGCGTGAGCTGTAAACACAACACTAGAGGGCAGCACTGTGAGTTATGCAGGCTGGGCTACTTCAGAAATGCTTCTGCACAGCTGGACGATGAGAATGTGTGCATAGGTCAGTTCCATTATAATTTCAGCTATTGTTCTGTGCCTTTCGAGCTATGGGGAGCAATTTAAAGTGGAAAGGCTGGTGATCTGCACCACGGCTGAGCCAAAATGAACTTTCTCAATGGAGAAAACATCTTTGTGGTAGACGTAAAATTCACTTGTGCTGGTTGAAATCATAGTTGGGGGATATATTTTGAATCCTTATGTTATTGTTGCTTTAAAGATAATGCTCTGAAAAAATCATGTTTAGAAGATGAAGAATTTTCTTTCTATTTTTCTTTCCATTTTTTTTTTGTTTGATTTTGCATGAAATCTTAAAACCTGGTGATTTCAACCTGATCCTAACTTTTGAAATGAAAACTCATTGTATGGGATTTTATTATAGATATGAGAAATTAGGATACAAACTCTTGCACATAATTGGTAATCAACAAATGTTGATTGATTTAAAATATTGCCATTTGGAATTGAAAGCTACTAACAACTGGTAATGTAAGAGTTTTCCTGAATTTTTCATCCATAGTAAAGAAATTCCATTTATTGAATTTTTCTAGAGCCCCCCAAAAGAGAAACAATTTCTCAAAATTATTCTAGATGCTTAATTTTCTTAGCTTCATGAGCCCTGGAAAACTGGGTCCACAGGGTCCGATGGAGCACTCTCCCCACCCCGCACTTGACTACTGTTCATGTCAGCTGGAGAGAACCAGGTGCACTTTCCATCCAAAAAACCTTCTCCTACCTTTTGCATAGTGGAACCTCTCTTTAATAAAGGGAGCTGATGGAAAAATAAGAAACAATAAATGGAATTTCACTTCGTAATTTACTTGAAACAAATGCATATATTCAAAATGGTGATGGCTATGTCTGTTGCCACACCACTAGGTAACTATATAGGCAACCAATTTTAAAGGCATAATTTTTTACGTAAGTTAAACAGAATACACAAGCTGAAAAATGACAGGGGATCTTTTCATCAAAAAAAGAAATCCAATCAATCTGCAATTCTGAGATTATTCTCTGGATTGCCAATGTCATATAGGTATTTGCCAAGTGTCTCATAAAATAGCTGTACGAATTGTTTTAAATTCAACTGGGCCAACTTTTCATAATACTGTTTATGTCTACAGTATGTCCTATTTTTCAAAGTCTTCCTTATTTATTATTGTGAATTAGTGGAGAAATCACTGGATTTAGAGGCCGGAGAGCTGGGTTCAAGTCCCAGTTTGCTAATTTAATAGCTGAGTGCCTTAGGTAAGTCGTTTGAGAACTCCTGGTCAAATTGGGATAATATGGGATGCCAGGACACACTTGATGAACTGTGGACTGACTTGTAAATATGTTTTTTTGACTTGATCCTTATTATGTTTTTTGACTTGATCCTCATTAACAAAATACTTGGGGGTAAGTATTCCAGTGATAATTTCCCCTATTTTCTAGCTGAGAAATGTAAGGCAAATTGGCCCAAATCATATAGCTTTAGCAAAGAGGTAGTTTCCTGACTTCAAAGTTGAACACTTTCTCCCAACCATTGTGACACATTTAGCAAAATTAAGCTTGTCAGTCTTTTACTTATGGTATGCTTTCCGGATGACAGCCACAATTCCACTATGAGCTTGTGAACAGAAGCAGTTCAATTACCTTTATAACACTTGGGTTACAAAGATTTGAAGATACTAATAAAAAACCAAAAGACATGTCACTGTCTGAATTTTGAATGCAGAATTACATTTCACTGAATGTCACTTGTAAAAGTATATAAATGTCATACTATAAAAATGGAAACAAGAGAAAAGGTAAAATAAATAGGAACACAGGAGTAAAACCTAATCATTTTTANATGGCAAAACTGAGATTTAAACTGGGTGAATTCCCCAACTCAAACACTGGATAAGTGGCAAACCTGTTATTAGTGAATATTTATTGTTAATTGAGTTTGCTGTGGCCTTTTGTAGGCTTTTTGTCATTTTTACTTTGCAGATGGTGACAGAGGCTCTGGTGATTTATTCCAGGGGTTGGCAAACTTTTTTATAAAGGGACAGATAGCAATTATCTTAGCCTTCCCGGGCCTTATAGTGTCTGTCACAACTGCTCAACTCAACTGTCGTAGCCTGAAGTCAGCTGTAGATGACACATAAATGAATGAGAGTGTGGCTGTGTTCCAGTAGTTTTATTTATGGATACTGAAATTTGAATTTCATTTAATTTTCACATACCATGAAATATTATTCTTCTTTTGATTTTATTTCAATCACTTAAAAATATAAAAAGCCATTTTTGGTTCATAGGCCATAATCAACAGGAGGGGGGGCTGGATTTCGCCTGCAGATCATAGCTTGATTTATTTCAAACTCTCACAGCACTTAGAAATGAAGAAACAGAGGACCTGTACAATAAAGTGGAGAGAATATAAAGCAGGAGGCAGAAGAGAACATTTTTTGAAAACCAAAAACCATACGTTTCATTAAAGTGTGTCCTTTGTCTGGCTGTGGGTATCACGGGGAGTAGATTTAACTGATACAGACCTAACTGATTCGTATTTACCAGGCCTTAGTTGACCCAAAGAAAAATGTTAGGATTTCCAGAAACAGGAAGGCTTTGACCAAATAATTTCCAGGACAAGATCACAGACATAGTCAGGGCCAACTATTTAAAGGCTTATGAGCCAGCCATGTCAATTTAGCATCAATTTTGTACAATCAGCAACTAATGAAAGAGAAGTCAGGGTGGCCATCGTGCAACCAGGACTGCTCATGTTGGTGTGAGAAATCATTCTGTTGCGTTCTGCAGGGACAACTTGTCACCTTGAATACCAGCAAAAACCTTTCCGAAGAGAGAATTACAGTAATAATATCAGGCTACAGCACCAAGGGCACAGGGGGAAAAAAAATGCATACAGATCCTGTTGCGAATTTATTTTTTTACCACCACCTTTGATAGTGGAGGCAATTATTCTGAATAAAGTGCATGTCTGTGCTTTGAACCCCTGCCTTTTCTGTCCCAATGCTCTTCTGAGTGTGACTGAGTCTATTGAACTCAGAGCATTCTGGATCATGTGGCTCTGCTTGCAGGAATAGAATAATGTCATGACCCAACTCTATTTAAATGCTATTTGCTTTTTTGTCCCATCGTTGTCAGGTTCTCTATTTTTAAAAATTATAGTCAACCTTCAGTTGTCCATGGCTACAAGGTGGGGAGAAGAAGCCTGCATAAATACGCACTATTGATCATCTTGTGATAAATTCCAATAAAGTTGAATTCCACCTAGAACAGGCATATGACACAGAAATTCAGACCCACACAAAATTCATCTGTTCAGCGTCCAACCTTGTCATCAGAAATCGCTGATTATTTTTAAACAGAAATAATCGCTAAGATGTGTTTTTAACAATAGTCCTTCCATCTATAAAAGGGTAGGATTAATATTATGTATTGTAGTTATTCCTTCTAAGCTACAACTCTTGGGGGAAATAGGCATATGTCTCAGAGATAAACCACTACAAAATAATGAAATATTGATGTAATTATTTTTAAGAATCACACTTAGACCTCTTTTTAATTAGTATTATTGACCCTATGGACTTAGTCTTATGTTAATCTGTATCCTTTGTCATGAAAATCAATAATATGGACAACTGCATTGTTCAAATAGATTTTAAGTGCAAAAAGNGAGAGCATTTTAGAGTTAATTTAGTTTTATTTTTACCTATGTATGTCATTATTTATGTCTTATATACATGTTTGTATCATAAAAATGCTGAACTCAAAAAATGACTTAATCAACGTGAAATAAATCATAAAATCTAAGGGACTCCACATTCTTTGAAGAAATTATCTAAATAGTTCCTATGACAAAAATAGTTAGAGCCAAAACTCTAGACCTCTCTATGACATTAAACCCAGAATCTCCATTGCTAATATGACGTTAAAGTTGATAACATGAAACCAAAGTTCTCAGGGCTTTTCATGGTTGATTGTTCAGTTGGTTGCTTGGTATGATTTTATTTGCTTTTTTTAACAAGGAAACCTCTTAATAGGACCATAAAGGAAATGGAGAGAGACATACAAACTTGTCTAAAAGTATACAGTGGGGTAATAAGGAAAGAAACTTTGACCCAGAAATTCCAAAACTAGCTGTTGTTACCTTTCAAGTGACTGGAAGCCTAAGGAAATCTGGTTCAGCCTTTACGCAAAATAATACTTCAGAAGTAAAAAAATATACCCTGTATAAGAATGTGTGAAGAATCAAGGAAACATTCTATTTACTTTTTATTACACAGAGTTATACTGTCCTACCAGCAGACATTATAATGAAAAATATCTCACATGATGCCTATATTGAAATTTACTTGCAATTGCAAAATTTATTTTTCTTTCGTGATTGTTCATCGAGGCTGCATAAAAGCTGTACTAACATGCCTCGCAGATACAATATCTAAAGGCTCATCACCAAACAGTGTATATATAAATAAGTTAAGGTGCTATCCCAGATCATAAAGTAGAACTGCCTTCGAATGAACCAAGTGCTTTCATATTGCACTTTAAAAATATTCAGCAGCTCTCAAAAATTGAGTGTAACAGATAAGCCCATTTGAAAAATTGAAAACAGATTTTACACTGATGGCATATTGATTTATCTTTGATATAGAAAATTCTCATGGTGTTCATCCGACCATCTAAAAAGGCCCTAACAAATGGAATCTCCATTATGATCTGTTAGCAGTGAAGAGCGTGAGGTCTTATTTCCTGGATATTTTCAGTTGATTTCCTCCCATATCATAAAAATGATATCACGGAAGGCTGAGCATATAAACAAATGAACCTGAAATAGCCGTATTTCCCAAAGCATTTCATTAGTGGCCATCTTTCTTTAAGTAAGTGATGCGTTGATGTAAGTGACGCTTCTGTGTTGATAACCTATAAGCCATGCGGACTTGTCTCCAGCCTGTGTGTTGTCTTGTTTCTACAGAGTGTTATTGTAACCCTTTGGGCTCAGTCCATGATCGTTGTAATGGCTCAGGATTTTGTGAGTGTAAGACTGGAACGACAGGGCCTAAGTGTGATGAGTGTCTGCCGGGAAATTCCTGGCACTACGGCTGTCAACGTAAGTAACCCTGGGAGGTGCCCTCTGCCTGCTGCAGCATGGCTGATTCTGCTTGTCTAGGCCGGTGCGTGCAGCTGCTCAGAGCAGAAAAAGACCCAAGCCACTGACAAGCTTTGAAGGCTCCTTAATGCCCCAGCCTATGGCTAGGAGAGAGAGCCATCCATCAGCTGTCCAGCTGGCTTCTTTGAAACCCAGCTTCATCCCCTCTGATGGCTGGAGCAACTTATGTTGAAATATTGAACACAGAACCATGTACCTGGCCTGACCATAAATTAAGTGGCACAATAGGGACCCAGCTTGAAAACCCTCACCGCAAAATGAAGGGTGATGTGTATGTGGTTAATATATTTCTTGAACTGGAAGTTACCCTGGAGCTCCAGAGTTCATAAATTAAGTTGTATCTACATAACTTATTACCACCCTTGCTATCATACCCATCACTGAATCTTAACCAAAAATCTAAAGGTAATAAATCTAAGGGATAGTTAAATGCCAGGGTAAAATAAATGATGAAAATCAATATTGATTTTAAGCCTCTGAGGTTAGGCACCATTCAGTGAGCCTTAGATGGATGTCATTTGGTTTGGTTCAGCCTCATTTCTCTGAGGATTATCAGACCTTCTTAAGAGCTTGTCAACGCAGGTGGCATGTCGGTGTATTCAGGAAACAGAAATTTAAAAATCTGAGCATAAGCTTCCTTCTGTCATTCATAACCTTTTCTGCTGTTTAATTCTGCACTAACTTTCCATTCTATCTACACAGTCAGCTTACTAATATTAAAGAGCCACGAGGCATATCCTCTAGAGCAGCACAGCCCAGTAGGAAATTGTACAAGTCAGATGTGTAACTTTAAATGGTTCGCTATCTGCATTAAAAAGTAAAAATAAATAGAAATTGATTTTAACAACTTATTTTACCCAAAATAGCTGAAATATTATAATTTCAACATATAATTCACATTAAAATGATTAAGGATATTATTTTACATCTTTTTCCTACAGTCTTTGAAGTCAGATGTGTGTTTTATATTTAAACAGAACATCTCATTTAGGACCAGCCATATTGCAAGGCTTAATGGCCACATATGTCTACCATATTGGACAGCACCGCTCAGAGGTCTCTTTGCTTACCATTCACTTGAAAAAATGTCAGCATGCAGGAACTGTCTAATGCCAGCTTCTACCAGGGCTATACAGAATATTTTACTAGCTACTTGTAGAATTTATAGTAATCTGTAAGCTATACTTCTACATAATGGAAAGCCAGAGTGAAGTGTACTGCCATACTAATGTCATAGGCATCAGTGAACTGTGGCAATGGGTTGAGAAATTTGGCACTGAGTAGGCCAAGGTTAAGGTGGGACCCAGGAGCTGGAGGGTGAGCATCTCCAGCCATTCTGAAGAGGAGCCTTAAAAGACAGTCAAATCGTCAGCAGTCAGGTACCACACCTGCGTGTAAGCTCTGGATAAGGTCATGGTTTAAAAGCCCTCTATGCTGTAGGTTCCCAGAAAGCACCTTAAGGGTCTGGATGCATTGGTGGATCCCAGGTGCCATGTGAGGAGCCAGGACTCAGAGAACAGGCATCAGTCCGGGAACATCTGGACAGAGAGGCCCAGAGCAGGCCACAGTCAGGAGGAGAGAAGGAGGGACAGAGGAAGGTCTAAAACCAGCCCCAAGACTCAAGGCATGAGATGTAGGGAGACTTTGTACTTAAGACACACTCCTCAAAAAGAAAATCTCCTGTAAACTTCCTGAAGCAGCAAGACCTAAGGAATGGGTTCCTGGAGTGTAATCAGGGAAAGATATTAGAGAGGAAAGTAGATTAATCTAGCCTTAGGGGAAATGTATCTCAAAAAGGGCCTAACTTGGTTTTTCTATATTAATTATTAGAGTATCATAAAAAGATATAATGTCACCAAATTTCCTTCTGGGTTGGAAGATTGGATTTACGTGTGGTCCTACCACGTAAGGGCTGTGTGATGTACGAGACCCTCTGTACCTCAGCTCTAGCACCTCACATAGTTGGTATGTGGATCAGTGAGATTATGGG